AAAAAAAAAAATTTATATTAAAAATCATCCCAATTAGTGTTCATTTATAAAACAAGGCTATTCCTAATAAAGTTAGGGAAGAAAATCTTTTTTTATTTGCAAAAAAAAGAAAAAAGACCGATCGGTCTTAAAAAGACTGCGGTCCTTAAAAAGACCGACGGTCTTATTATATGTGATACAGGACCGAAAGACCGCGGTCCTACACTAAGACGGACCGGTCCGTCTTTTTATGGTGTAGGACCGTAGGACCGCGGTCTTCTAGGACCGATGACCATCTTTAGGGCTACTTCTCTATCTCTCGCAAGTATTATTGTTATTTTCATTTTAATAATTTCATTACTTGCTCTATTGACAGTGAAATTGATACTCTTAGCAACACATACTTTGCCATACAATTCTTTCTCTTGCTCTTCTATTTTGTTTTTCTCCTTATTGTTATCCTTTTCATGTAATTTGATAATTGATATACAATGTTGTGTCAATGTGTCAAGATACATTTTGCTTTGCAATGTTTTTCCAATATGCATTTTACTGTACAATATCTTTTTATTGTCCATTATGGTTGAAATGATCTTCAGTTATTTTAGTTATTTTTGAATATTCCGTTCAATAAACTGGTTGAAACTTCTAAAAATAATATGATAAACCATGACAGAAATTATGTCACAATGGTTTGTTAAATTAATACATTAAAGCCAATTAATAACTGAAACATTAAAAAGAATATTTCAAATTTTTCTACATTCAAATTTCCTAAAATATAAAATAATGGAATATAAAATACAGTTATTGAAAAATACATTTTATTATTATTTATATTTTACACTGTTAAATATTTGATCAAAATAAATAACAAATTTAATTTTTTTTTTTCATTAATTAACAAAACGAATAAAATCTCTTCAATATTTCAGAACATCAGAAATAAAAAATTAAAATAAAAATATTTATATAAAGAATTACATAATATAACGTTCAAGTCATATAATTATCATAATTTAATGTTTGGAATTACATCAAATTAGTATCACGAAAATTATAAATAAAATTATAATAAATTTAATTATAGATAAATTCTCCCTACAAGTAAATAATAAAATAATAAGGATTCTGAGCAATACATAAAAAGCTAATAATACAGAATTTGCGCCGGGGACAGAGAAATTCATGTGATTGATCATTTTTCATAGTGCGTAGACATATATATAGATCGTTTCGCTCCGGACAATTAGTGAGATATGACAATAGGAAAGAATTTTATTTGATAGTTGGTTTAAAACGACTACATTATGTAATAAAATATGAAAATTGTCAATAATATAAACATACAATTCCTGCGAGCAGGATTGAATTTAAAATAACCAAGTATATACAGGACCGAAATATACTGTACATTAATCTTCACCTTCAAGACTAGTTAATTATTTACAAAGACATTTAATTGAAAATGAGTCAGATTGGATAGAACAACATTTTGAGTTTGTTCAACAAATTATTTCACAATCTCAGGTCTGAATTTGCGTAGAAAGGGACAAAATAATTATGTAGATCTTGATAATTCCGGTCAAATTTTTATTGCCCTGTTTAGATACTGCTCACATTATCTTAATTCCGGCCCTAAAGAAATGCGTATAACGGACTACTCACGGAGATAAAATCTGGAAAACACAATTAATTCAAATTTCTATTTATGATGAAAATAATAATAAATATACTTTATAATTGATTACAAACTGGTCCATCTTCATTATATGAACTATGAAAGATAATACTCTATAATTCCAGTGATCAAATTATAAAAAAAGTCATAATAAGCTAGCTATCTATTTATCAAACTATTAAAACTATTTACAGTCATGAGAAAATTACTATATTAACAAACTTCGTCATAAAAGTAGCTTCATCAACAGAATTATAATAATCATGTTATATTTTAAGTTTATGCAATAACTTCTGCTTTAATTCTGAAAATTCATCTGTATTCCATTCTCCCTCTTTAATCATTTCCTTAATTTCTTGTCGAGTCTTATCAAAATCAGCATAATAGTATCTTAAAAATAAATTTTATAAATAGATTAAAAAAAAAAAACAAATTATTTTCATAAAAACAAAATTAAATTATCAAATTTACATACATCACTTTAGGAAACCATTCATTCCAACGTCTTTGATGTGGTAATAGGTAAAATAATTCAATTTCAGCTAGAATCTTTAAGAAAATTAACAAATTTTAGTATTTTACAGATAACTAAACCAAAATAATGATGGAAGGTAGAATACCTCTGCTTTCTGTATTAAAAATGAGACCCTATTATTATCTTTTTCAATTGCATTACTAAGTAATCCAATAAATAAATTCATAAGATATACAACAATCAACAATGAGAACAAAACAATCAGTATTACAAGTGATGGATTGTTTTTATATGTCCAATTGGATAGTGCGCTTGAATCACCTATTATAAATAATAATATAATATTAAAAATTTTCCAATATTTCAACATATTTTTAAAATCAATTCTTTTGTTTACCTGTTAAGAATAAATACATTGCAAAAATAGAAGTCCCAAAATCTTCAAACATGTTTGTATTTTCATCAGGTGGTTGAATCATAAATGGATTTGGATCAACAGTTCCATTTCCAAACACTTGGTGATAAGCAGTAGCTAGGTTCCAAGGGTCATTTGGATCATTATTATTTGTATATTCTCCAAAAGAAAAGTTAGGTTCTGGCGATAATAAAATATAAAATGTGTGCGCAAAACTAATTATAATAATAAACAAAACAAATAAAAAAGAAGCAACTTGTTTTCCAACACTAATAATTATTGCAAAGTATACACCAAAAGATTCAAATACTCTAAAAAATAATAAAAATTTTATATCCAAAAATAAACATGAAAAAGATATTAAATGAATATTTCTATTATTTGTTTGAAGCCAATAAATGGAAGTGTAAATTGGAAGTAGGAATGCAATTAAATCTGTAATATTAAATAATAATAATAATTATTATTATTAATTAATATTAATGATACAAAGTAATTAAAATATTTATATGTTTGTATGTTACATACCAAATATATTCCAAATATCACTGATCCATTTAATAGGATCATAGATAATCTGACGTATTTCAAAACTCAAATGAATAAATCCAAGTATGATTGAGGCAATTAAAAGTTGTTTTTGAATATCATCATTAATGTATTGTTGAGGAATCGTTGCAGCGGCAGTAAAACATCCAAGTAAAAACATAAACCCAATCCAGATTATTGAATAATAATATTTTCCATATTTATTCCATTTAAAATTAATTAGTGTCTCCCCACTCCATGTTTTGTAGATATCTCTACTTATTGTTTTAACAAATGGACTATAATGAGGCATAATTAATTCTAAAAACCAATTATAATTTTGTGGATAGTTAACAAATTTAATATAAGGATTCATAAAAGTAAACATTGGTGTTGTATGTTTTGAATACTTTGAAATTTTTAAAGAAATTTTGTCAAGAATAAGAAAATAAACAGAAAACATGTCACTTTTTTTAATATCATTAATAAGATGATGACTTGATAATATGTAAAATATAACAAAATAAATGGGTAAAAGGGGTAATAATATTAAAAATTGAATAATAATTAGTATTGAATGAAATTTCCAATATTTCTTTAATTTCATTATTAAACAATTATATTTTGTCTACCAAATTGACTTGGTTAAATTAACTATTTGAAGATACTGAAAAGAATGGAGATGTAAATTGTTATTCATATATTTTGTACTATATAAAGCAGAATCTATGATCATAATAGTTTCTGATGAATATCTTGAAATATATTCTGGATAATATTCATTTAATAATGGCATTGTAGAAGTAATAATACTTAAAAACATTCTATTATTCCTTAAATCCTCTTTAAAATAATCTATGCATTTTTTATAGATATCATCTATTAAGTCTAATCTATGATCTTCAATTGCAAATGTTAATAATTCAATGCCATATTTTAGAAGGCTTTCCTTATTATCTTTTACACGTAAAACCCATTTATCATTCAATTTGAAACTTTCATAATTTGGTAAAGGTAAAGTAGGACCAGAAAACAATCTTATGTAATTTTTTAATTTTTTTGTCTTCATATAATAATAGTAATTTAAAGAAATAGATTTGTTAATTTCATCTAAATGATAAATATAAAGACCATTTGTTGCCAATACAATTATATCACTGTCATTGTGTAGCTTACTTTCAATTAAACTTGCGCTATAATCCCAACTTTCAACTTTTTCACAAATAAAATCACCATTATTTTTAAAAACTTGCAGCCTGAATGTTCCGTTCCTAATATAAATTGTCCATTTAATTAAATTAGAAGGCCATTCTTGTTGTATGTGTAATTTACTCTTATCTATATTATCTTTAAATAATTCTCGTACAGTAACCAAATGTGAATTCAATAAGTTAAAATTTAAGTGATCATATTTTTCATACGTTTCATCATTAAAGTACCAGCTTTCAACAATTTCATCAGGATTTCCGGATGTCAAATTCATTTTTACTAAAATTTCTTCAAGTTTAATCTTCCAAACATGCCCATCTAGAATTCTAATTGCATATTCAGATGTAACATGAAAATTATCTGGGAAACTTTCATCAGTCTGATATTCTATTGATAATTGGGATTTGCCTTTTAAACGGTCTAAAAATTCATTCCAACAATGTTTCATAATAGTACTACCATTTAATAAAGAAATTAATAAGGGGATCAAAGTGGTATGACTAAAATTATGTAGGTGAATATCTAATGATAAATAAAGGGAAGAATAATTAATATAGTATTGTAAGAATTTCACAACTTTTTACCTTAAATAATAATTACCTTCATTAATATCCAAAGAAGCAATAAGAATTTTTAACTCAATCGAATAAATAATAATTTTATTGTTGATTCCTATACAAATAAACTCCTCATTACTAGAAATTCTGATATTTGACTTAAATTATGGATAATAAAAAAAACAATAGTTAATAAAAATATATTTTGATTTTACAAGACAAAAAATTTTAATAATATTTTATTACCTCACTGTAAAAAGTATATTTTATCTCTTCGTCAAAACCACATATTTTTGTACCTTTTTCAGTAACAAGGTCCCATACATAAATTGAATTATTCGAAAATAAATAGAGTTTATCATATTTTGATATGCTAATAAGCTCGAAATTTTTCGGTATTTTATACATTCTTTCACATTTCCATTTTTTACACTTCCGTTTGTTAATTTTAGTTTGTGTGGAGTAAACAAAAATAATATTATCATCCATTTCGTATAAAATAAATTCACCTTTTAAGTTAAAGGTAGAATAACCATATTTGGAAAAGAGATGGCCACAATCTAATTTAATTTTTTGTTCACCATTCAACATATCGTAAATTTCTAATAAAACAAACATTAATTATAATAATTAAATTTTGAATATTAATTATGGGTATTGCTAAATATCACAAAATTATAATGTAATGTCGGCCAGTATTTTAATTCTGGACAAAAGTACATCATAATGCTGGTATGGTAACCATCACCACCAGTTGAGCATTAGTTACCTATGTTGCGGGACTCATTAATATACGCAAGTTCCTTATAATCAGAAACACAAATTTGGTATAAATATCCAAATGTACTTGATTTACTTAATTTGAATCCTGGTCCAAGTTCATCATTTTCATCTATACTTTTAATATTCCAACCGATAATTGAACCATTACCGTCTTCTCTATAAGTAACGTAATATTTTCCATTTGGTGACACACCTATTCTAGTAATAGGTTTATTGTTATGTGGTTTATCAATATCATTATTAATATCAATTTTATCGTCGTCAATTTCATTGATGTTAATCGCAGCGTCGTCCATGTTTATTTATTTATTTTTAAAAAAAGTGAAGAATGTGAAGATTCAGCAGCATCATATGCAAAAAAAAGGGTGCTTAAATAAAGCAAAATATGGCATATACATAAAAGTGTGGGGATACAACCCCATAAAATGGTTTAAATAAATCTAGCAAAGGATTCCCTTAATCAGTGTTTGATGTACCCAGATTATAATAACAACATTATGATAGGTTATCTTTTTTTTTTTAAAAGCTAATTGAGAAATGATCGTCGATTTAGAAAATAGCGAGTTTGGCGTGAATCACATGAAAATTTTTTTTATTGCAAAACGTTAAATAAAAACAATAATAAATTTAAAAAAGGTCAATTTCAATAAAAATGCAAGCGAGTTTGGCGTGTTGGCGTGCTTTAATCATATGAAAATTATTTATTGTAAAACGTTAATTTATTTTAATGTTTAAATTTGTAAATTAATGGTACAATAGTTAAGTTCCCGTGCGATAAATTTAAGGTCTCGATTCATTTATTATAAAATAAAGTCTAGATTTGTCTGCAATATTCATTAATTGTTTTTTCTCTGTTTAACAGGAGTTAATCAATAAATAATATTTTCATTGAAATATGGGATTTTTTTTAAAGTTAATAATTATAAATTTTTTTTTTTCAGTAATGATCTTAAAATTGTACTTCCTGTATTACAAAAAAAAAATTTTATTGTGAGGCAATTAATTGAGAAATGATCATCGATTTAAAAAAGGTAAGCGCAAACGAATTTCTGCATTAATTGACATCATGAGTTGGCGTATTTGTTTTTTTGAAAAAAAAAAATAATAATTAGGCCTTAGGTAACATAATTGACTTTCTTATAATATTATAAGGATTAAAAGAAGTAAGCATAGTCATTCTGTATGTTGTCACTGAACCGGTTCTGACGTCATTAAGTGTCATACCTTTTCATTATACTGATAATTTCAGATACTGAAATTATTTAATTTTATTACTTATTGTTATATTATTTACATATAATTTAAACTAACTAAATTCTTTATTTAAAAAATTATTTTGTAATTTCTTTTAGTTGGTAATTTTGAAAAATCTAAGATCATGTGAAATAAAAGTCACGTTTTCAAAATGATGTCGATCAAACATATTTTGTATACTATGAGTTTTAAGGCAATTCTGGCACGACCTGTGATTTCAAAGTACTTTTCATTGTTCCCTTGTAACCTAGCAGCTGAATTTGCGGTTGAATCCAGCCATGATTTCTATACCTGACCTCAACGTCACGACCAAACTCATAATACTTTATGCTCATTAGGTGGCTGTGAAACCAACACTCACAACTTGAGTAAAAATATAGGTTTGTTTTCATATATACTGTATTTAATTTATATAATTTTTTTTTATATTTTATATTAGTAGCTTCAGAAATTGAAAGAAAATTAAATAAAGAAAATAGGTTTACTTATATTATGTGCTGTTTTTATGAAATTCATTTAACGAATAATAAATTTCATTTAAATAGCGTCCAAGTCTAAAAAGCAAGAAAATATACTTGGGTAAACAAACATGATTAAAATTTAACTTAAAACTATGTTATCGCCTTGGTCTGTCTATTTGAATGTAATTAGCCAAATGCCGTAATCGTCGATCAATTGTGGTTATATCCAAAATTAGGTGAATTTATTATTAAAGTCTGAAGACTATAGCTACTATATTAGTTAAACATAATTTTGCTCGTTCGTTTATATACTAATACTTTCACACATGATAATGTAGCTACCTGGTCATTTTCATTTATAGTTTTTAATTTTATATTGTCAATTATACGATTTTAAGGTAAATTTCATAATGGCTATGTTTCAATTAAAAATTCTAGCATATGGAAATTTTACAATCATATTGAAAATTCTGCACTTGTTTCCACATATGCTAGTTTGCGTCAATAACATTTGCGAAAAATAGTATATAAACCTAAATATCTATCGCTTTGTCTTGTCAAAGGAAATATGAACGCAGTCAATATTGATAGTAACAAGTTGGTTAGCTACCTCTATGGCGTGAAAGCTGACGAACTCAAGCTTTGGAAAGTAGAAATTCCTGACAATCGTGATGATCAGTTGAGTAATCTTTCACTCCAGGACTGAGACGAACTTTTTGCAACAAAAAAGATTCGAAATACTTTACAGATTTACCACTATATCAACCGCCACCTCAAACTGCGATTCATGAATAGGAATTGTTTAACTAACTTGATTCGTTATAGGCATTACTCAACAAGTCCATCTATGGTTAAAATTTACGTTGAGATTTTGGTAGAGAACTCTGGCTGATATCTTTATGTTATATAAGACCGTGACAAAATGCCACAATCAATTGCTGTCTGAAAAATTTTATTAACCAGGCCTTTGCGTTGCAGTGAGAAGGATTAAGTCATTTAAACAGATAGTGTATATCGAACATGTAAACTTGAAGGCCTCAAAAATTCCATACGTGCCATATACCAACAGCTGGCACTTGAAAATGATAGAACGGCATTAAACTTCATGAAAGATATTCACTTAAGAATGATGCTTTATTTTAAGATATATTACATCAGCTGTTCATGTCAAAATAGTCCTAAATTTAGCATGTTCATAGAGACTCCATCAAAAGCTTTCTCAGAAGAATGGTCATTTTCAAAAATGTTCCAGTTTTATGATACCCAAATCCTCATATTAACGTGTTCTCTGATTTTTTTCATGTGGTTCCGATAACCTAAATACCGAAAGTCTGAAGCCATAATTAAGCACCTAATGGCTAAATAAAACTTCGCTAAGATATTACTCTCCTCAACAAGACATGTGAAGTGATAAAAACTATTTATTCTTACTGTTACCTTGTATATGGGGTTTCGTTAATCGTTATACTAAGATGAATCAAATTCATACTGGAAAAATTATTAAAGATTGGAATGAGCATGGTAATCTCGATTAAGAGTGCAAACAAAAGTCTTTGATTGGTGGAATTCCCGGATAATCGAAATTAAGAAGGAAGATGTTATGAAAGGATTTGCCAGGCATCTGTGCAGATGGAATTATCTTTAACAGGTCGTAAATACAAAGACGAAAACAATCAAGGATAAAATGATTGGAGTTACCGATGCATCTGCACTCTAGATGATGAGGAAAAGCCATTATTTAAGTTATCGACATAAAAACCTAATATGGAATGTTACAGGATCACATTTTTGATTTCATTGGCTAAAATTAACCATAATTTTAGGTAAAAATTAAGGGATTGTTAATATCAACCATTTACAAAATGAAATCAAGCCGCCGTAAAAATTATGGCGAAGGTTGACTGTTATGTCATAAAAATTGGGGTAGTATTAAAATCCGCGCATATTCATAACACAAAAATGTAAAACTATTTTTAGAATTTTATATCACTGTTTTTGTTTGCGTAACATGTCGTTGAAAATTGATTACATAAATATTTGTGTGACAAACGAAATTGTCACTCTGAAATCCATACAACTTCTAAGCCGAGAATCCTCTTTCACTTCTTTCATTTCTCTTAACATATGGCGTGTTTAAAGATATTTTCAAGGATTTACCAGAGTTAATAGATGAAATTATAAAATATTTTCATGATGACTATATAACATTACATTCGTGTATATTAGTTAATAGATTATGGTGTCGTTTAACAATTCCATTATTATGGGAAAATCCATTTTCAATTAAGTTTCCTAAAAATTTCATTTTATTACATAATTTAAATGATGATGATAAATTAAAACTGAATTAATTCCTTCAAATACATTATTCAATTATTCTAGTTTTATTCAACATTAGAATACACGTAAAATTATTTATTCTATTAATGATTGGGAAGATGCTGTAGAACTTCAACAACTACCAGTTATTCTATACAGAATGATTTGCAAACATCAAACTTTATAAAATTTATTTATAAGTTGCTGTTTCAGATATTCATTAGAAATGAAATGAAGTGAATTTGCATAGTTTGGAAGTTGTATCGTCTTCAAGTCAAGAAAGTAAATATTTTGATGATATTCTTAAATTAAATCCAAATTTCTTTCGTAATATCAAAATTTTGAAACTAGTAGATCCTTTTATAACAGAGCTCATCATGCCCTATTTGCAATGGAAAACATGGAAATTATGGATTACATGGCTCATGGTACTGCAAAAATGGGAATCAGTTCCCTTATGATCCTGAATTAGCGAAGTTGTATTCCTTCCCTATAAAAAATAAATGTCCGGAAAATGTCTATAAAAATGTCCAGAAATTGTCCAGAATAAATCTGGCACGTCTAGAAATTGTCTGGAAAATGTTTATTTTTTGCATGGACTTTGTCCGGAATATATCCAGAATTTGTCCAGCATAAAATTTTAGACAAATTCTGGATAGATAAACCTGGACAAATTCCAGACATAGTAGAAATTCAGATAATTTGAACTGGACAAATTCTGGACGTTACTTCCAAAAAAGGATAAATTAATTTTGTAAAAAAATGCAAAAAGCACAAGACTGACATTCATAACCTTCTTTGTCATACTAATTAAATTTGCTGAGCAGGCAAAAATACTATATATCTATAATATAAAACTTTAGG